AAAAAAAAAAAAAAAAAAAAAAAAAAAAGGAATATTACATAAAATTATATATAGTAATAAGCTAAAAAGAAATAAAGTAAAACCAATTAAAATAAAAAAAAAGGGAATAAATAATATAGATTAAAGATATTTATAAAAAATTACGTTAGATAAAAATCTATAAAAAAAAAAAAAATATATGAACGTAATATAAAAGAATTGATGATATACATAAAATTTAAAATTTTTTAAGAAAAATTATCATTATCATGAAAGAATAAATAATTTTATTAAAATAATATCTTGTGTGATACATGTATATGCAATATATAATATATTATAATTTTTAATCATATTATACTTGGTTAGTTTTACTAAATTTGTTTAATAAAAAAAATAAAATTATATACGTGATTTTTTAGTTCCATTATTTTGTTTTATTTTTTATTTTATATTTTTTTAATTTTTTTTTTTTTTCTATTGTTTATTTGTATCATTTAGAAAATTATAGAAATAAGTTAATGGAATATTTTTTTATATATATATCCTAAAATTGATGTTATAGTATTTTTTTTATTTTCACCATTATTGTTTGATATATTAGATTCAGGTGATTCAATAGAGTTATTTAAATCATTTAATTCATTAATATTATCATTCAATGTAGAATTTTTATTAATAATTTTATTTTGAAGAGAAATTTTCTTTTCATTACTTTTTTTTGTTAACTTTGACTCTAAATTTAATTTATCTGAATTGTTATCACCTTTTGATATATTTTGATTTCTTTCAATTAAATTTTTATTTAACATTTTTAATTCATTTAATTCTTTATTTATTTTTTCATTAGAGTCAATTTTTTCAAGTTTTATTTGAATTTCATTTTCATCTTTTATAAATTTTCTATTTTTTTTATTTTCAATGAAGTCTTCATTTGTTGTTTTGCTATTTTTTTCATTTAATTTTTTTTCATAATTTTCATATATTTTCGCGTTTTTTTCTTTTGTTTTTTCAGTATTCTTTTTAAATGTTTTTTCATTTACATTTTTATTCATTTTATCATTATTCTCTTTATTTAATGAATTATTTACAATTTTATTGGATCTTTCTAATGCACTTTTAATTATTATACTTTTTGATGATTTATTATTTTTCTTTTTATTAATTTTTTTGTTTTTTGTTACAATATCTTTATTAACTATTCTTACACGTTTTAATTTACTTTTTTTGGATAAATTTCTATTTAAATTTAATTCATTAATTTTATTATTATTATTTAAATTTTTTTTTTTTATCTTTTCATTGTTATCATTTTTGTTATGAAAAGATTTGTATTTAGTATCCGTATTTCTATTTTTCATGGAGAACATATTACTTATATTTAATGAATTGTGTTTATTAAAGTTGGAACTTTTACATTTTGTTAATCTATTTAATGAAATGTTAGATCTTTGCTTTACTAAATTATTCTGAAAATCGAAAATTTTTTTTTTCTTTTCCTCCCTTTTTAATCTTTTAACCTTATTAAAAATTTTAGCTGCCTCTTCAGGATACATTTCTAAATATAGAGATATTTCATTCTTTATAGAATTCAAATAATGATTCCTCATAGAACCTCCACTATGCTTAGTTATTTTCATTTCTTCTGCTTTTTTCCAATCTATTTTCTCATTTTTTAGTTGATGTTCATATGCATATAAAAATATTTTTTTTGATTCATCTATGTCATATGCTTTTATCTTAGTTTTCTTTCTTTTCTCACTTTTTGTAACCATTTTTTTTTTTTTTTTTTTTTTTTTTTTTTTTTTTT